CCCAAAAAGAAGAAGAAAATGCAACTCAGAAACAAAGGGTAAACTACAAGAAGCAAAGGAAAGCAAAGCACAGAGTAAGTAAGCAAACAGGCAAGTGTAAATGTAACGACACTCTCAAAGGGAGTGAAAACTAGGCAGAGGGCTGGAAGGAGCAAGCTGTACTTCCCAGAACTTCACACATTGAGGTCCTGACTCCAGGGACCTTGGAATGTGATTTTGTTTGGATTTCAGTCATTTCAGATGTAAAAGTCAAGCTAAAATGAGAGCACTAAGTGGACCTAGCCCAAAATGACTGGTGTCTTTATAATGAGGGAAAATCTGGGTACAAAGCCATGCACACAGGGAGAATATAATGTGTAGACAAGGTCTCATTAGGTAGTTCAGGCTGGCCTTGATCTCACTATGTAGACTAAGCTGACTAATTCATAGCGATCCTCCTGCCTCAGCCTCCTGTGTGCTGGAATTACAGGCATGTATCATCATGCCCAGCTAGAATGTGCAGATGAAGGGAGGCTCAAGAAGATACCCAGGAACACCAAGGTGGTCAGAAGACCAGATAGAGCTGGTGAGAGGCACAGTGAGGATTCGCTCTCATAGCACATAGAAGGGGTCAGTCTGTCCTGGGCTTTTAGCACCCACCACTAAGAGACACATTTCTGATGCTCAGGCTACTCCATTCATGGTACTTTGTTAAGGCAGCACTAGGAAACTAAATCAGAGACTGATTTATATTGGAGAACAACTTGATTTTAATATGAGGGGGGATAAGTTTTTTTTTAAGTGATTGAATGTATAGGAGGAAAACAAAGAAAGGGATGAACTTCAGTCTTTTAAACATTAAGAATGTATGTTTAAAGTATAAAAGTAATCACACAAAAAATAGAAATAAAATATATAGGGCCAGGGATGTAGCTCAGTAGCACCATACATAGCTGGCAAGTGCAAGGTTCTTAGTTCCATTCCTGGTACCAAAAAGAAAAAAAGAAAAAAATATATAACTTCTTTTACACTTTCAGCTTCTCACACCAGAGAAACTATTCGGTATTTACATGTGCTCTATTTATTTCACTGAAGAGTATGGCCTTGATGTGCATCCATTTAGCTATAAATGTCTCTAGTTTCTCATTCTTCATGGCTGAATAGTACTCCATTTTATACACACACACAATCTTCATTATCCACTCACCAGTTGAGGGGCAATTGGGCTGTTTCCAAGTTTTAGCTATTACAGACTACGCCTTTATAAACATGGGTGTGCATATATCACAGTGGTATGATTCTTTTAATAATTTTGGGAGGATACCCAGTAGGGAAATAGCTGGATCAAATGGGACCTCTAACCCTAATTGTTTGAGGTATCTCCATACTGATTTCCACAGTTGGTGCCCCAGGCTGCACCCCCACCAACAATGGAGAGACATTCTTTTCTCCCCACAGCCCCACCAGCATTTGTTATTGGTTGATTTCTTCAGAGCAGCCACTCTTTCTGGAGTGAGGTGGAATCTCTGTTATTTTCATTTGCATCTCTCGAATGGCCAGTGGTGCTGAATGTTTTTCATATGTTTATAATGAGGATAAAAATGCATAATAGATAATGTGAAATAGGGAGAAAAGGTTCAAAGGGGGAGCGGAAGTGGGCGGGGCAGGGGAAAGGAAAGAAGGGGAAGGGATAAATGTGAGAAGGGAAAAAATGGAAACAAAGTCTTTGTAAATGAGAGGGGTGGGGGGGTGAAGAGAGCAGGGGAATGGGGAAGAAATAAGAACCAAGATATGTTATGTACAGGTACAAATTCCCAATGATGAGTGTTGTCATATCATATACCTAAAATGTACCAATAAACTTAACGAATTATATACATATATATATATATCTTCTACATGGACAGAGGTGAAGGGAGACATTTTTAAAGCAGCAAATAAAAAGCGTATTATATCTTGTGTTTAGATGTCCCCCCCACCAAACCTCATGCTTTTTCAGAGGTGTCTGGTTGATTCAAGATGTAGTGCTAGGCCCGAGGGCACTAGGAGTAAGGGTGTGAGTGCTGCCTGTCCACAGTAGTCTGAATGAGATAAAGGGGTGGGAAGGGCTATGAAGGTCCTTGTTGCTTTTGCTACCTTCTGGGCACCATGAACTCTTTCCCTTTTGCAACGCCCCTCTGTCCTCTGCCACTCTGCCTGGAGCCAGCCCATTATGGACTGAAACCTCTACAGACTGTGAGCTAAATAAACCTTCACCCTTTAACTTTGACTGTTGGGTATTTTATCTCAGCAATGAGAGAAAAGTAACTAACACACAGCCCCTCCAAAAAAGAAAAAGATTGTTGAAGGAAGCAAGGAAGAAGGTTGAGGATCTACAAAATCATCTCTCAGTACCCACTAGGGATTGAGCCCAGCCCCTGCCAATCCTGCCAGGATTACAAAATCCAAGGGATGCTCAGGATCCTTGCAAAAAACAGCACAGTGCCAGGCGTGGTGGTGCATGCCTGTAATCCCAGCACTCGGGAGGCTGAAGCAGAAGGATCGCTGTGAGTTCGAGACCAGCCTGGGCTACATAGTGAGTTCCAGGTCAGTCTCAATGACATAGTGAGACCCTGTCTCAAAAAACTGGAAAAACAAAAAGAAAGAAAAAAAACCCAGCACAGCATCTGCATATCACCCACGCACATCTGCCCATTTACTTGACCTCATCTCTGTCATCCCTACATTACTCATGATATCTAAATACAATGCAAAGACCACGTAAATAGAGCGACACTGTGCAGTTTGGGGAATAACGACAAGAAAATAGTCTGTACCTGTTAGGTACAAGTATTTTAAATATTTTTGGTCAGCGATTGGTTGAAGCTGAGGGTGTGGAACCTGAAGATACAGACAGGACTGACTGTGTATATGTACACTTTGTCCTGTCCTGTTCTTTATGTGATATATATTGTGTGGTTCTGTTTATATCGACTGTGTCTTTATGCAAAGTGAAGACATTATAGGAGGAAATACTCTTGAGTCATTTGTAGGAAAATGGAACCACCTTGAGACCACTACGTTAAGTGGCCTCGCAAGTGCAAGGACCTGAGTTTGATCCCAATACCCTCCCAAAAAAAGTGTACTACATGCCTGTACTGATGGAAGAAGAAAAAAAGATTACTACTCAAGTACTAACAAAAAGAAGCAGGCAGGGGCCAGGGATTTAGCTCAGTGGCATGGGGCCTGCCTCACAAGCACTGGGTCCTCAGTTCAATCCTGATACCGAAGGAAGGAAAAGGAGGAAAGAAAGAGGCAGAAGACTGACACACCCATCCCTTCTCCTCAGAAATACAGATCCCAGGAATATGTGAGGTTGCCTGGCAATGGCGGGCCAAGTTTACAAACAGAATTAAGGCTGCTAATCTCCTAACCCTAAAATAGGAAGCTTGTCCTGGATTATCCAAGCGGGGACCAATGCAATCACTGGGTCTTGGAAGGTGGGAAGGGTGGAGGAGTCTGCCAGAGGATGGAGTGGCTTTGGAAAAGAGGAACAGAGAGCTGTCACATAGCTGGCTTTGAGGACAAGAAGAGAGGCCATAGGCCAAGGAATGTCGGTGGACTTTAGAAGCTAAAAAGGCAAGGAAAATAGATCCACCCCAGGGCTTCCAAATCTGAGAACAGCCTGTCAACAGCTCAGATTTAGCCCCAGAGAAACTGTAACACACATTGTGTTATTTCTTCCTCTTCTTTTTTTTTTATACCGGGGATGAAACTCAGGTCCTTGTGCTTGCAAGGCAGGCTGAAGAACCACTGAGCTAAATCCCTGGCCCTGTGTTACTTCAACCTACTAAATTTGTGGTGATTTGTTGCTATAACAGTCAAAACTAATACACCTGTATTCATGTAAATATACAAGTATGTAAGAGCCTGACAACCAGAGCGACTCCATGTTGACCAGCAAACGACCTAGAGACTGTCACCCCCCCATCCCTTATAGGATAACTAATGATTAATTGTGAATTGTTAGGTAACTGCGTTGAAGTAGCTGGGAAACTAAATGGAAACTGTAGTGAAGGTAGAGACCCAACACAAATCACACCACTCCTTACTTGCCTGTAGTTGAATGTTCTGAACATTATAATCTAAGTTGTAAATGGAATAATGGATAATCGATCTGCTGATCATTAGTACGTGACGGTCAAGTATATGCTTGATGACCACTAGCTCAGATCAACTGATTCTTTGCCTTTGTCCTCTTCCTGGAAGTTTTAAGGGTAACCCCCCCCCCTTAGCCCTATATAAAATGGCCTCTGTTTCTGAGCTAGCCGCCTCTCTGAGCTACTTGGCTTGGGGAGTGCCGTCTGGCCAGACTAATAAAGGTCTATTTGCCAACTTGCCTGGTGTGTTCCTTCCTGGGTGACTCTCGCTGTCCGACAAGCTCCTGGAGCCTCGCTGAGCTTCTGAGCCCAGCGTCGTGGAAGCCTCTTGGCTGTTCACGCTCCACTAGTAAAAGTGAGACTTAAGTCTTACAACTTGGAGTCCCCGGCGAGATCCCCAAGTCGGAACTGTAAATCCAGCCGAGATTCTCTGTCGCAGGATCCAGCAGGAGATTCTCAGACATAGACCTGAAAAGCCTCCGGAGGCAAGTTTTCAATCGGTTGCAACCATTTGATGTCAGGATAGAGGTGGCTGACGAGCCGGGAAGCCTCACCTGACCCCGGCCCTGAGGAGGATTCCGGGTAGAATCTAAGTTCTTTTTCTTTGGTGTGGCCCCTGTGTGTCTTGTCTGTGTCCTGTCTGTTGAGTGGTAACTTTACATTCATTCCTAGGAACAAGATGGGAGGATCGAGCTCCAAAATTACCCCATTGGACTGTTTTCTCACTAACTTTAAATTGGCTTTTTCCCCTGAGCAGGAAGATGAATATGGAATGAAGTTTTGTCAAGGGAAACTCCGAACCCTCTGCAACTTGGAGTGGCCCGCCTTCGGAGTGGGCTGGCCAGCTGAAGGTTCTTTCGAACCACGACTTTGTCGGGCAGTATGGGCAAAGGTCATTGAACACCCTGGCCACCCCGACCAATTCCCTTATATTAATATCTGGGCCCAGGCCTGTGAAGAACCTCCGGCATGGTTGCAGCACTGCTTCCTGCGCACCAGTTCTCATATTCTGGTAATGGTACCAAATGGGATAAAGTCCACAAAGCGGCAGGCACCCAGGCTGGTGTTCTCCCAGGAGCCGGACCCCTTAGGCCTACTGACCCCAGGTTAAGACTCCCTCCATATGCAGAACCATCCCCTGGGGAGGCAGAAGTTAAGTCCATCTACCCATCTCCCCCGAAAGAAGGGGAGATCCCGGATTCCACTACCTCTCCTTCCCGTACCCGAGGGGGCTCTGCTTATGGACCTGCGGAGGCACCCCAGGAGAGACCGGACCCAGTCCCTGTGCTCCCATTGAGAGAAATAGAACAAGGTTATTATGTATACATTCCTTTCTCTACAAGTGATTTATATAACTGGAAGCACCAGAATCCCCCATTCTCTGAGAAGCCACAAGCCCTAATCTCCCTCCTCGAGTCTGTATTTAATACCCATGACCCCACCTGGGATGATTGTCAGCAACTTTTACAGGCTCTGTTCACATCCGAGGAACGAGAAAGAATTAGAAGACACGCTGTTGGGTCAGTGCTGGGGGGAGCTGAGGGGCTTGTTGACGACCAACAACAACAGGCCCAAGTTGAAGCACAGCTCCCCATCTCCCATCCCAAATGGGAATCGAATTCCACCGGAGGTAGGGAAGCTCTTCGCAACTAACGTCAGCATCTCCTGGCCGGCCTTAGGGGAGCCGCTCGCAAGCCTACCAATTTGAGCAAGGTAAGCGAGGTCCTACAAGGGCCTGAGGAATCCCCCTCTGCCTTCCTGGAGCGTCTACTGGAGGCATACAGCACGTACACTCCAACTGACCCAGACGCTCCAGCGAACAGGCAGGCAATTAATCTGGCTTTTGTAACTTAGTCGGCCCCAGATATTTGGAAAAAATTACAGAGAATTGAGGGCTTTGAAGGAGAGAATAGGGAAAAATCGATAAGTGTAGCAATGAAGGTGTTCACAAACAGGGATCCACCCAAAGATAGAATAACTAAAAAGATGGCAAGGACAAATATAATGATGATGGCAGAAGAGGGTTTTATACAAAGGGGGAGAAAAATGAAATGGGGAAATAAGAAGAATTTAAACTAATCGGAGAAGAAGAAAATCCTCCAGAACAAAAATGGGACTATTTGCAAGAAAAGTTTCCTCAGGTATGGGCTAAAACAAACTTACCGGGGCTGGCAAAACATCAAGTCCCGATAATAGTTCAATTGTTGGCCTCTGCCACCCCTGTTCGGGTCCGACAATATACTCTTCGCTTGGAGGCTAAGATAAAAATATCTAAACACATCCACCGACTTTTAGATGCTGGGATATTGATCCCATGTCAGTCAGCCTGGAACACACCCTTGCTACCTGTAAAGAAACCTGGCACATCAGACTACAGGCCGGTACAGGACTTGCGGGAGGTAAAAGCCGGGTGGAGACCGTCCACCCGACGGTACCGAACCCCTACACACTGCTGAGCCTCATTCTGCCTGCACATGTGTGGTATTCAGTTCTTGATCTCAAAGATGCATTTTTCAACCTGCCCCTGGCACCAGTAAGCCAGCCGCTCTTTGCATTTGAATGGACAGACCCGGACACTGGAACTACTGGACAATTGACATGGACTCGATTGCCACAAGGCTTTAAGAACTCCCCCACACTGTTCGGGGAGGCTCTCAACAGAGATCTACAAGAGGTAAGGAAAGCTTTTTCCTACGCAACTGTTCTCCAGTATGTAGACGACCACTTAGTGGCGACCACAACCGAGAAAAAATGTCTCACAGCCACAGAGGGACTCCTGGAGGCCCTACAAGGTCTGGGATATCGAGTTTCCTGGAAGAAAGCCCAGCTCTGCAAAACCAAGGTAACTTCCTTGGGTTGTGTTCTTGAAAAAGGAAAAAGAAAGCTGAATCCAGGGTGTCAGCGATCCTTCAGATCCCCACTCCCAGCTCAAAGAAGCAGGTGCGTGAGTTCCTGGGGGCCATAGGATACTGCAGAATCTGGATACCTAGCTTTGCTGAAATTGCCAAACCCCTGCATGAGGCTACGGCAGGGGGAAATGCACCCCTTGAATGGACAGAGGCTTGCCAGCAAGCATTCCAGACGCTCAAGACTGCGCTCACCACAGCGCCGGCCTTAGCCCTGCCTGACTTAAATAAACCTTTCACCTTATATGTGGCAGAGAGGAACAGGGTGACAAAAGGAGTGATCACGCAGTCTTTGGGGCCTTGGAAGCGACCTATAGCCTATCTGTCCAAAAGACTTGACCCAGTGGCCAGAGGATGGCTGTCTTGTTTAAGGATGGTAGCTGTGGCTGCTGCTTTAACTCGGGAAGCTGATAAATTGACTTTTGGTCAGGATCTGACTCTGATCACTCCTCATGCCTTTGAGACCCTGCTGCACAACTCACCAAGTAGATGGCTATCAAATGCTAGATTACTGCAGTACCAGGGACTCTTGTTAGAACAGCCGCGCATTAAATTTGGCACAACATCTAACCTGAATCCTGCTAGTCTGCTCCCTGAGTCAGATGACCAACTGCCCATCCATGACTGCCTTGAGACTCTTGAAAATCTGCGGGGAGGATGTCCAGATCTGACGGACCTGGCCCTTCCCCGGCCTGAGGCAACGTGAAGGTGTACGATCTGTGGGAGCAACAATAGTCAATCAGGATCAACAGGATATGGGAACAAGGGCTGCCCCAAGGGACATCAGCACAGAAGGCCGAACTGATTACTTTAACTAAGGCTCTGGAATTAGGAAAAGGGAAAAAGATAAATATTTTCACTGATAGCCGTTATGCTTTTGCTACTGCCCATGTACATGGAGAAATTTACCAGAATAGAGGACTTTTAACATCAGACGGGAAAGAACTTAAAAACAAAGTTGAGATATTGGCTCTGCTGCAAGCCATTTGGCTGCCAAGGGAGGTTGCCATCATTCACTGCCCTGGACATCAAAGGAATTCCAGCCCTGAAGCGATTGGAAACAATGCAGCTGACCAGGCAGCAAAGCAAGCTGCCCAAAAATCAGTGGGGAAACAAATGGTGCTGCTACCTACACCCGTGCTCCCAGAGAGGCCTGAATATACAGAGGAAGAAATAACAGAGATGAGTAAGAACCACTGGACCAAAGGAAAGCATGGATGGCGGACGACAGATGAAGGGAAGATCGTTCTGCCAGCCGCGGTGGCTAACACTTTGCTAAATGAGCTCCATGAATCCACCCACCTAGGAGAAAAGAGGATGATGGCCCTGCTGCGGCCCCACTTTGTCAGCAGAGAATTAGCCCAGAAGGCCCGGGACAAAGTGAGACGGTGCCCCACCTGCCTCAAGGTAAACGCGAATCGCGAAGGGTAACTGGGCCCCCAGGGGTCCTATATAGGGGACTGACTCCCGGAGAACACTGGGAACTGGACTTCACCGAAATGAAACTAGGCATGTATGGTTACAAATATCTGTTAGTTTTCATAGACACATTCTCAGGGTGGATAGAGGCATATCCTACTAAAAAAGAAACAGCTGAGGTAACAATAAAAAAAGCTCCTGACAGAGATAGTTCCCCGATTTGGCTTGTCCTTAGTCCTGGGGTCCGACAATGGCCCAGCCTTCACGGCTAAAGTCTCTAAACTGATTAGCCTAAGCATTGGAATTAGATGGAATTTACATTGTTCTTACAGACCTCAAAGTTCAGGACAAGTAGAAAGAGCTAACAGAACACTAAAAGAGATTTTAACTAAATTGAGCCTAGAGACTGAATTAAGTTGGGTGGAGCTTCTCCCTTTTGCTCTTTTGTGTATTCGATGTACTCCCAAGCCTCCTCTGAATCTGTCACCCTTCCAAATTATCTGTGGGTGTACTCCCCCCTTGGTTCCCCATATAGATATGGAATTAAAGGAGAAATTCTCTCATCTGAGGTTGCTTAAGTCTCTGAGAGCTTTAAATGAAATGCAGTCTCAACTACAAGACCAGCTTAAAGGATCTCTGACCCTTCCTCATGAGAAACCTCTACAGCCACTGCGCTATAATCCGGGAGAACTGGTTTATATTCGCACGTTTGACTCCAAGACCTTGGAACCACGGTGGAAGGGGCCTTTTCCAGTTGTCCTGTCTACTCCTCTGGCTGTGAAGGTTGCGGGACGCCCGACGTGGATCCATCGCAACCACCTCAAGCCCGGACCGGACAACAGCCCAGAGGTGCACGGAAAATGGACCATCCAGCAAACCCAGAGAATTGAAAGTAAAACTCCGCTCAACTGGACCTTCATTATGATCTGGGTGATTTCCCTTGGGACAATAATAGCATTGTCCAGAGAGAACTTAGGTCATACTAAAAAGGTTTGAGTGCAATTAGCTGAATCCTTAAATTTGTCTGAAATATGTTTAAATGCTGATGTGAATTTTCATTATGTGCTTGGAAGTTGTTTGGTTCCAGTATGCACCCCACTTGAAAGTATTAGACCATATACTATGTTTATAAATATCCCACAAGTAAATCTCAGTTATTTGGATAGTGACAATTGGGGACAGGTGACATGTTAGAAACCAAAGAATGCTATTAAGCTATATACCCGAGTAGCTATGTCCAGTAAGACTCTCTGTGCCAAATATAAAGGTTGTACTTCCCAGTGTTTAAATCTTAAACAAACAGATGTATTGAAGTGTTCTAGAGAACAAAAGATTCCTTACAGCAAATGCCATATTACTTTGCCACTGGAATGGTTTTATACTTGTGAGGGAATAACTTATAATTATATCCCAGCAAACTTGACCGAGGCCCACTGTTGTCTTAGTAAATTAGCAGTCATCTTACCTGACAGAGGAGACCTCTCACCACCCAACAGAACAAAACACTGGTCTCCCTATACTTCACCAGGCTGTGATGATGATGTAGGACTTCTAACAGATGCTGAAGTTATTCCTATGATTATTTCTGTGATAGGTATACCCTCAATTGGAGTACATGCTGAAAAGGCAGTTAGAAAACTAGCTTGCAAGGTAGTTAAAGGGTTAAATACCACCTCTGCCGCGCGCATGCTGGCACTAATTAACCAAGAACTCCAGGAACAGAGACAAGCAGTCTTAGATAATAGGGCGGCAATTGATTATTTGCTATTATTTCATCACCAAGGTTGTGAGAGGGTTAAAAATATGTGCTGCTTCAATTTAACAAATAATGGGCCAGCTATAGAACAAGACATAGAAAAGCTCAAAGATTTAGCTACAAAGATTCATAATGAACAGATAGTATGGGATTTATTTAAACGGTTAACAAGTTGGTTACCTGACATTAACAACTGATACTCTGTGTAATGGCATTAGGATTTTGTATTGCAATAACTTGTTGTCTTTTACAATGTGTTCCTTTATTAAGGGCCAGGGTCAGATATAAGTAAATCAAAGATTTGATTTAGGTCCAAAAATCAGTGGGGAATGTAAGAGCCTGATTGAACCAGAGCGACTCCATGTTGACCAGCAAACGACCTAGAGACTGTCGCTCCCCCCCCATCCCTGATAGGATAACTAATGATTAATTGTGAATTGTTAGGTAACTGCTTTGAAGTAGCTGGGAAACTAAATGGAAACTGTAGTGAACACAGAGACCCAACACAAATCACGCCACTCCTTACTTGCCTGTAGTTGAATGTTCTGAACATTATAATCTAAGTTGTAAATGGAATAATGGATAATCGATCTGCTGATCATTAGTACGTGACGGTCAAGTATATGCTTGATGACCACTAGCTCAGATCAACTGATTCTTTGCCTTTGTCCTCTTCCTGTAAGTTTTAAGTGTAAACCCCCCCTCAGCCCTATATAAAATGGCCTCTGTTTCTGAGCTAGCCGCCTCTCTGAGCTACTTGGCTTGGGGAGTGCCATCTGGCCAGACTAATAAAGGTCTATTTGCCAACTTGCCTGGTGTGTTCCTTCCTGGGTGACTCTCCCTGTCAGACAAGCTCCTGGAGCCTCGCTGAGCTTCTGAGCCCAGCGTCGTGGAAGCCTCTTGGCTGTTCACGCTCCAGGAGTAAAAGTGAGACTTAAGTCTTACAATTTGTTGCTATAACAGTAAAAACTAATACACCTGTATTAATGTAAATATACCTTAACAAAAATGCTTGGGACCAGAAGTGTTTCAGATTACTGATTTTTTTTGGAAGGGGCGATTTTGGAATATTTGCATTCATGTAATGAAATATCTTAGAGGATGGACTGCAGTCTAAACTGAAATTTCATTTATGTTTCATATACATTTATACAGTTAACTGAGGATAATTTTGTACAACTTTTAAATAATTTTGTGCATGAACCAAGATGTCAAGGTTTAATTCTGTGCATGTGCTGTGCCCAGTCCCTCAGCAAGACCCTTACCCAAGAACACAACACGGTGATAAAGTCCAAACAAGAACTTTATTTTGCCAACCAGGACCTACCCTGCAGTGGAACTGGCCATGGAGTCCGGTCCCAAGCTGAAATTGAATACAGATTTTATACAAAGAGAGAAAGGGGGAAAAAAAGACCCATTTCCCCCTCCTCCCACTCCCCTTTACTTCATAAACTTCCTTATCGAAGCCTAAAACACATTTACAGAAGCAAGAAGGACTGCCCAGTTAAGACATCTGGGACCTCTGGTACAATTAGTTAAAGGCCTCTACTGTTATCTTAACCAGAACAGCACAAAATGTTTTAGCTGGGGAGTGGGTTTTCTCACAGGGAAATTCCTGAGTTCACATAGGGATCAGATAGTACATCTGGCAGGTGAGCCTCATAAACCCTTCCTGCTATGTCAGTTTTATGGTAGCCATAGGCAAACTTCATGGTCTCTAAAGGGCAGTGGGTGGGTTTTAAACAAAATGCAGGTTTCTCACATGAAACAAAGCACTTGTTAAGGCATTGTGTCTATTCTCAAAAAGTTTAGGAGTTTGGAGCACTGTGGATTTGGGATTATTGGATTAGGGATGTCCAAACTATGATATGTAATGAATATACTGATATAAAGTGAAATTTACTTTCTATTCGGCTAAACATCTATTAGCAAACTTGAAGCTATAAGAATCCCGAGCCTCAATGTCCTTAAAAATATTCCTTAATATAGAAAAGGAAAAAGGCAGGCAAGGTGGCACACGCCTATAATCCCAGCACTCAGGAGGCTGAGGCAGAAGGATCGCTGTGAGTTCGAGACCAGTCTGGGCTACATAGTGAGTTCCAGGTCAGTCTCAACTACATAGTGGGACCCTGTCTCAAAAAACAAACAAACAAAAATAATAATAATACCATCACCTTACATTTGCATAGCTACAGATTACAATACTTTCATGTATGTGATCTAAATTGATAATTTAATTAACCATGATATCAAGAGCCCAAAGACCAGGGCTAATAGTTCTTTTAGAGTTCTGGGACAACTTTATTTTTTTATTTTTTCTGGGACAACTTTAAAAAAAGAAATACAGGTCTGGGGATTTACCTTGGTAGCGCTGTGCCTGCCTTGTCAGTGCAAGGTCCTGAGTTCAATCCCTGGTACAAAAATAAAAAATCCAATTGTTTGGGCAGATCTTATTTTATTTGTTCTCAGAACCCTGTAAACCAGTAAGGACTGACAAAACCCCAGCAGAGGTTTTATAAGCCCAACCTCTCCTGCCTCCTCCCAGTTCTACAACTCTCCCATGAAACCCAGAGCAGAAGCAGGGACACATTTTCTTGCTCTCTGGTTAAGGGGTCAGGCCCAGACCTTCAAATATCAAAAGTCCTAAACTAGTCAGGAGCCATGGTGCCTGCCTGTGAGACTGATACAGGAGGATCACAAGTTGGAGTCCTAACTGGGTCTCCAAAGATTATTTTCTTTTTTGTTGTTGTTGTTCAAAACAAAGTTTTAAAAGGGCTGAGGATGTAGTTTAATCAAGCCTTGGGCTGAATCCCCAGCGAAAGAAAGAAGAAGAAAGCAAGGGGAGGGGGTAGAGGAGAGAGAGAGAGAGGGAGAGAGAGAGAGAGAGGGAAAGAGAGAGAGAGAGAGAGAGGGAAAGAGAGAGCACAAGAAGGCAACCAAGGGAGAGCAGAGAGGAGGGGGAGGGGAGGGGAGGGAAGAGGACAAGAGGGAGGGGAGAGAAAAGAAAGGAAAACAGAAAGAGAAAACCCTAAACCACTGGACCTTAGATTGCCTGTACCAGCTGAGAGAAGCTTCCAGTCTTCCTTTTGTCCAACCTTCCCCTTCCACAAGGGCTTATGGCTTTGAGAAACGGGCTGAGGCTGCTTCACGGGAGCTAGAAGAGAAAGGCCATTCACAGTCTGCTCAAAACCAGGGCAGCTAAGGAGGAGTTTCCATCCTTTCTTCTCATTTCGTTATAACTTATTGTTACAACTTTTGTGACTAACATTATAATATTTATTGCTCTATTTTATACAGGAGAAATTGAGGCTTAGTAACATCAAGCACTCACTCCGGGTCACACCTCCTAACAGATTAAAGAGCCAAACCCGCTAATTCAAATTCAAGGCTCTTGATTTTCTTGCTGTTTTGTTTTGGTCTTGGTTTTATGAGACAGGGTCTTGCTATATAATTCAGGCTGGTCTTGCACTCACCGTGTAGCCCAGACTCAGCGATCCCCCTGCCTGAGCATCCCTAGTGCTGGGCTCACACACCCAGGAAGGCTCTTGATCGTCTACCACCTGATCTTGGGAAATAAACCCACATTCTTGTGAGATGTCTTTTTGGTTTTTTTGAGACAAGTTTTCCCGGTGTAGTTCAGGCTGGCTTTAAACTCTGTATGCAGCCCAGTCTGGCCTTAAACTCACAGCGATTCTCTTGCCTGAACCTCCTGAGTGCCTGGACTATAGGTGTGTGCCACCATGTCCAGCATGGTGGGCTGTGTTTACACCATATCTGAGATTTTTTTTTTTTGGTATCAGGGATCCAACTCAGGACCTTGCTCTTGCTAGGCAGGTGCAGTGCCACTGAGCCAAACCTCCAGC